ATTCCTGCTTTGAAGGCACTTGGTGTAGCCTAATAAACCCCTATCGCTATCACCCTGCTGCGCTGCCAAGCGTCTGTGGGATTTCGTCATAGAGATGCCCGAGGCACCGACATCTAAAAACAAACGAGGAGGCCTGATCAAGACTGAGCCTGCAGACTCAGAACAGGGAGTTGAGGTGTGTCATCGCTGCTCTGCTCCTAAATCAATCTTCCAATAGGCCAGAGTGAGGTCAGCAAACTAAATGCAATCATCGTGAGATTTAGGTTTTAATTACAGTCCCTGGATTCGAATAACACACTCATCAGCAATAACCATTGGAGTGCTGCTTTTGGAATCATGAATAAACATCTTACATAAGACAGGGTTTAGGCTGCTGTCTTAAAACTCTAAGACCCGCTTCGGCTGCACATCCACTTTTGTTCCAGACATTTATTAGGAGTGGAGAATCATGTGGTGTGTGAGATGTTGTTCTCTTGCAGTGCTGACCGTCTCAGTGTCTGTGAAATAGCACTGGCGGCAGACATATCTTTGCTGGGAAGTGATCCGTGCGCTCTAGACCTCGACGAAACAAAAAGCTTTGTGGAGCGCCGAGAAAGGCGAGGGAGAAGGGAGGAGGGGGGAGGGGGAGCTCTCCCGTTTCATCGCGAGGTCCCGGGAGGCCAGCACGGAGCATAGCTTCAATCAAACCGTGACGTCTCCTCCGGGAGTTGCGCAGCGCCTGGAAAACCGATCTCTCCTCGGCTCTCTGCTGTGCCTCCGCTTTCGTTCACACGCACCTCGCCTCAGCACCACGCGAAGCGCCGGCAGCGACGAGACTGCTGTTTTATATCCAGGCGTAAAGCAGTGAAAACACACACACACACACTCGCGCCTGAATATGAACACACCACGGGCATTTCTTTTGACAAATTTCCCAGCACATTAGTCTTGAGATGCAGAAGTGGGCCCGTGATTTTACTGACGTGCTGCTTGTGCTTAATACTACCCACGTGGTCCCTATTGATTCCACGTTAGGACGAGGACACACAGCAGGTTAATGGGTTTAAAAATGGAGACTGCTCGTCCGTCCCTATGCTACTGAACAACACAGAGCACCGCGCTGACACCTCCACTATCACACATCAGTCAGCCTGAAGACATGACCCACCAGACTGCTGATGCTGCCTTCAGATGCCCCCCCCCATGCACAAACATCTGAATGTCTCCACTGAAAGCTGTAGAAAATGGCACCTCTAAAAACTGACAATGTTTCAAACATTACACGCCCACCCCCCCGAAGTAA